GCAGCCAGTCTGCCGGCATAGGCTGGCTGGCAGGACTCCAGCAGATGTTTGGATAAATATTGTAGCTATTTTTCTCGGACGAACATACATTTGTTTGGGGCTGTGTTATTGTAGCTCTTCTTGGTGGTTAGAACAGGAAAACAATTGATTTCAGTGTAAACCTCCTCCTTAACTAAGTTGGGCTTTGTCCCACAGGTGTTCCCCTATTCTTCCCCCTCCAAAACAAGCCACACAGTCTACTTTTATGTGGACAATACCAGGCTTTAAAATAATTAAAGAAAAAGATTTGGTGATAATACACAAGGCCTTGCAAGTGCAGCTGTGTTTCTAGATGAGAAATACTTCAGCTGAAGTAAATAATAGTTCTGTATTACAGATAAAGAATAGGCAGTTTTCCAAGTGATGTGCAGGTATTCTCTTCCAGTGGTTTTCCAAGTTGACTGATTCAGAAAGGTGGGGTATCTTTTTGGTTTTGTTAACAGCTTTGGGTATTGCAGGGTGACTACCTGTTTACGTAAGGAACTGGGTTGGGAGGGCTTCGTGGCTCTTATAAACTATACCATTTCTTTTAGAAAATAAAACCTTTTAAGAGCTGCTTCCATCTGGAAAATAGTGCTTGCATGTGCAGTCGCACTGTGTGTTCTGCCCTTATTTGAATTACACTGTTGATGCTAGGAGTTTGGTGTAAACAAGAAAATGCATGAGGGTCTTATGTTTTGTTTTATATCAGTGCTTATAGTGTATGACCTTTTGTAATGAATATATTGCAGGACCTCACAGGATGGGGAAAAATGGACTAAACAATAGACCTCAGCACTTACAACATTATGTGGTTTGACATCAATGGGAGATGAGGGCACTCGCTGCCTTTCAGAATGGGACCCATGATGTTTTTGTATGACTAGATTAATGCTCGGTCTTGTCTTGTTGAGAAGATGCATTAATGGTAGTGGGCTACTAACGTTCCCCAGCCTTAAAACAAAGGTGTAAAACATGAATGGTAGGAAAAAATGAAGTAGTCATTGGATATAGTAATACCCTTTATTTTTAAAATACAAGTTGGAATTGCAAAATGTCTCATGGCACTGAGCTCTCAAGGGAGAAGTAGTTTGATTGGCAAAATGAACTATATCCTCCCTGACGGAATGCATTCATGAGGCTAATCTGAGTTAGATTAACATCTGTGTGGGGGAAGGACATTCCCCTGACATGATGGGGTTTAAAATTTTATCGTTTTCATTTATCAGTAGTAATAAAGAGCTAACTTTGAGACTTATGATTTTGTTTCCCTTGCAGTAAACATGTTTACAAATTAGTACGCAGGTGATTGCTAATAGTGAGCTTAAGAATAAACCATCATGCACATAGGAAGGTAAAGGACCTGAGCCTTCAAACACTCTTGTATATATTCCAACTTTACTCCCCTGAGGAGGTCTTATGGTGACTAGTTGTGAGGCTGCTTATGTGCCCACTGAACGCCTCTGAAAAATCCTGGTCTATGCGTGAGTTTGTCCTGGATGTGTTATGTAAAGAGTTAATGTCTGAGGGTAACTGCAGTAGAAGGGTTCTTGTTTGAACCTGTATTCAGATGTGATTGGGTTTTACTCTAGTATCTGACTGTAGCAAGTCTGACCAGCCATCTGCTTTTCTGCTGCCATTTAGGAGTTTTACTCCTTTTCACTGGGGATGTAGAAGGCAGATGAGTCAAGTCGCTTTTTGTTCTTTGGGTGTAGTAGCAAACTGTAAACACAGTAGCAAGGAGAACTGGTGGATTCTGTATTTAAAATACTAAACTGAAACAGTCCTCAGCATATATTACGTAAAATGCCGCTATTCTTAAAGGCAAAAAAAATATATCTTAAACATCCTGTTAATTGAACCTATCCAGCTGAATTAATTTTTAAAATTACAGTTAGTATATGAAAAAAATAGCAGTTTATAGTGGTACACTTAATTTTAGTATCGTTTGGAAGAGGAGGCTAATAGAAAGTAAAACCCCTGAATGCTTGTTGGAGATGAAAATCATTTATAACCAATAACTTATTGTAGTAGCCTTTGCTAACTTCTTTTTCCTGTGTGCTGTTGTTGTGAGAGAAATGTGAAGGTAATCAGCAACTTAATTTTGTTCAGAGTTGCAAAATGCAGTATACAGTCTGCTCACTACACTAGCATGAGTGATTCTCCTTCCATTTTGATATATGTGAAGTGTACCATTACTTTGTGGTTTACTTTGTGTTTTCTTCCTTCTCATTTTAAATATCACCTCCTGTTGGACTTTAAAGGTAATATGTAAACTCGGATGGAAACTCTGGTTGTTATTTATACCAAGAGTTCTTGTGGCTGGCTGGACAATGTAGAGCTGACACTTTTATAAGAATTTATCTACACAGCATGGAGGGAAGTAAACAGCTGGTCTGACTGCTAAAGGGAAAGAACTGGGGTCCTAGTAACCGCCGAAAGACTTCCAGTATAGGTAACTATGTCTTTATGTTACAAGGAGCTTTCTTTTCTTTGTAGAGTTTCCCCCACTTCAGTTCCATTTAAATACATTTGTCTTCTATAGTAGCTTGTAATTGCTTGTTTTAAACCTAAACCTGTATAGTGGTTTGTGGATCACAGTTTCTCCAATAAAAGGTATATTTTTAAGCTTGTTTTGTTTCTAATTTGAGAACAGTATGCCTAACGGTATTAGTAAACAGAGTGCAAAATCTAAAAGGAAACTACCTCTGTCACAGCAGAAGCTAAACAAAGTGGGATTTGCTCTGTTTCACTTAGTCATGTTTAGAGACACTAGTCCTTCCTTGAGTAAGACCTTTAATTACTACATTATGCTTTTGTGTAAGTGTTTCTGTGAGAAATTGGCTCTGTCCATGTGAAAGTGACTGTTTGGCTGATTTAAAATCTTCCAGTACTTTGCACAGGGGCTAATTCTTTAAGCAGTGTGCCAAGTGCTTTTATTTATTTATTTTGGGGTGAACTGATGGATTATTATTAAATACTTGATTTGGCAAATTACCTCCATCATGCATGTGAGAAATCCTGTATCCTGATAGAATAACATATCCCTTCTAATGTGGAAATAAATGACTTCTGAACATTCAGTTATCTCTTGGATATCTTGCTAAGCAGATATATTATTCTTGTAATTCATATAATGTGAATTTTGTGACATAAAATGTGTCCAAGACAAGAATACAGTGGAAGATAGTTCATTGTGACAAAGGCTAGTAGAGATGTATTTTCTTTTAAATGTAATTGAAGGGCTAAACCACAAATCTAATGAGACTATGTAGACTTTAGACTGCTTCAGGTAATGTAGAGCTTTGTACGTACATTTTTCTGATATTAAAGAAGTGGGGAAAAGGCGGGTTTGGTTGTCAAGCTTGGAATTTGTTTTTGAGACTAACTTGTGGGGCTACAAAGGTGCTGCTAGCACTTTATCCTCAAGCTGAGTAGATGATTGTTAAACTTTGCTGCTGGTTTCACAACTATTAAACTTTTAGGTTCACAGTTTCCTTTTATATTAGCAATTGGTCACGTACTTTTCTGTACCCATACAGCTACAATCAGTGAGTCTGCGTCTGTAAGCTTAACCATACATAACATAATGGCTTTTTCACTGTAAGGATTTAGCACCATTTTGGATTTTAAAAGCAGAGCATGTTAGGCTTCAGAGGTGTTTTATTTAACAGTTTCAAGACTGGAATTTAAAACTTTAAAACTCCAAATTGATTGCATTTTTAAAAAGGTCTTTAAGGGGGCAAGAAGTAAAGAAGAAAGATGGTTGTAGATTGACTTTGAAAGTTTTCCTTCTGTTATTAAATAAGACTTGTATTTCTAACTGTGTTTGGTCAGAGATCAGATGTTAACTTCCAGTCCAAAAAGTAAATATGGGCATTTATAGGAGTAGGAAAAAGAATTCAAACTTTTATAGCTATTTAGAGGGAATATATCAACTTCCTCTCTTTCCTCTATGAGGAAGGAGGGAGTTGTTTCAGACAATATCTGATCTGAATTCACAAAGTTTACTTTTAAATATTGCAAAGTCTTTCAGCATATTTAAAAACAAACACAAAAGGCAAGCTCTGTATGTATGAATTTAGGAGGTGGAGAGCTGAGACCTACTTCTTTTGCTGGCAGCACCGAGGAGACCCGCAAGAAATGCAGAAATTCCAGGGTTGTCCCTGAGGAGCTGGGAGTGTGACTGCGCGGGGCTGGTGCTGGGGCCTCCGCGTTGTGCCGCTTCTTCCCTATCCCCCGCCCCAAAGTATTGACTGGTCCCCACAAAACGACTGGTGACTGGCGAGAGGAGCTTATGAGCAGGAGTGAGAACTTGAGCTAGCGACGAGCCGAGAGACTGTATGGAGGAACGGTGCAAGATGTGGAGGTGGGATGTGGTGTCCTGTAGGAGGAAGTGAGAAGAAAGGGGGGCTTGGGAGGCTGTGGGGTGAAGTAGGGGAAGACTACAGTACAAGTGCTCTGA